AAGTGATTTCGAGCTCATTGGTTAACCTCGAGTACGATTACATATTCTGATTCCAGGATCTGATGAGATCCGGCCAAGTTCAGGTGACACATAGGAAAGGTTTTATCCAGCCATAAGAACTGTCAAGAGAAGACAATCACATGCATTATCATGCCTCATACATATATCTACAAGGTAATTGTTGTGTTTTTTACTTATTTAAATGCAAGACGTCTGTTCAGCGTGGAAAAGTAGGCCCAATATCCTCTTGGGAGGCCCTCTAGAGCTCCCTCTGCTGGAGGCCCTTCCACCAGCAGTGGAATGAGCAAGCCACTGCAGGGGCTGCACAACCTTAACAATTGTTTTAATTAAAATCCACTGCTCGTGATAATTTAAATGTGCAATTTCAAAAATTTTAACGAAGCTTATACGCTGCAGAGCAATTAAGCAGCTGCTGTCATGCTTTTTAGTTGTTTGCGGCGAGACACTTTCACAGGCATTGCAAACTATATCGTGGGTGTTCTTGGTTCTTTCGGTAAAGTCACGTAGAATGGAAATAATAAAATAATAAAAATAAAACACAATAAAATAATTCTCACGAATTATCTCCTCGACAGATCTGTTCTCCACCTGAGGACGGCTACTTGCGTTGTGGCCAAAACGTCGTGAGAATTATTTAATTATGCTTTATTTTTATTATTTTATTATTTCCATTCTACGTGACTTTACCGAAAGAACCAAGAAGATGAATCCCTGCAGTCACGAAAGCTTTAAATCGAAATATATCGTGGGTGCTTAATTTGGCTACATAAAGAAGCCTGCATTTGCAGAGTTCAATGGCCTCTTTAATTTCTAGACACGGTAATTATGCTAATGTAGCATCCGTACTCTCGTTAATTTTTTATAAAGCTCCAAGATGAAACAGAAAATGTTGTTCTTGCAGACAATGACATTCCAATCAGGAGCATCCAACCGTGGCCCTCGAGTGCCAACTTTAACCACGTTCATGGCAGAATTAGCGTGGGATGTTTGCACAAGGATGAAAGTGTGAGCCACCCACATTCAATCAAGATTACAGGTTCATGCTTTAGATGTATAGCCACCGACTTCCCCATCCATCCCAGCCTGTATTCGTTTTTTTTTTCTCTCCAGCCTCCCCATCACTTCCCACTCACTTCTCCCCATCGGTCAGCACAGCTTACTGCGCTCTAACTACTGTATATCCTGATACCAAAGCCTTGAGAGATCCATAATTTCAATTATGGCTCCAACAGGCTTTCAACTTCTCAACATCACAATATAACCGGAATTCAACACCCCATTATTACATTACAACCACTTGGAAATGTAAGTATGTTTTTCATGATTATGTTTTTTTGAAGGTTTCGATACATAGCACAGGTATTTCAATTCATATTATGTAACTGTATTCAAAATTAGATAACGAGAAATGCAGTCTCTGAGATTAACTATGCTAACCATGTTAATAGACCCACTGCACAGTACTGCAATTATATAATTTCAACTTTCAAAACTGCAGACTGCAGAGATCTCCGTGGAATTTATGCAATCTCCTGAACATAAATACATGCTTCCGACAGTGTGTGCACTTTTCTGATCACCTTTGCAAGCTTACGATGCCACTGTTTGAAATCTACCTTTATTTACTACCACGGCTGCATTCTCCCGTCCCACAAAGCGGACCCTATCAACTCGTAGGTTGTGTAGCCACCAACACGTCAATTATAAAGAAGGATGCCGACGTGAAGCCGATTGGAATGGAAACATTTTAGCGAGCTGAATGTTGTAACGTTAATAACGAACAGCGAAAGTAGTTTAACGATTCATGCTGCGATTTGTAGGTGCATTAGATCATTTACTATCCATAGTTGTATTTTACATGTCTCATGATTTTGATGTGACATCATCAATTGGGTTGAACTGTCAAGGTGATGTCACTGCAACACCTCTGGGAGGATGACAGGAGTTTTTTTGGAATACTAAGTCCTTTACAGTATTTATAACTAGGCCATAACAAGACGAATATTTTTTTTAAAGGCATGCCTAATCAGACGAGGCCCCGTGATTGCATTAATGTTAGGTTCATGGCACAACATTTTTTATGCTAAGTTGCCCAATATTGTGCATGTTAAATAAATTATTTTGAAAGCTTTTTTTTCCAGGAGTATCCTACATGGGGAATTTCTTAAATCCCCCCCCACATCTGTCCATGCATTCATTGTTATTTACAAAGCAAGACTGTTGCATGAACTTTAAATATTAAATGTCAATGGCAACGCATGAGAAATCATTCTGAGAAAGCATCATCTTTAGGAACATATTTTATAACACTTGCCAAAAAGACATCTTCCAAACAGTGCACTTTTCAAGGCACAATTTACCTGCTTGCTTTTTAAATCATTACTAGGGCACACGTACGAGAGATGTAAGCTGCTCGTGTGTGGATCTCCCAGAAGGCCTGGTTGTACATAGTGATATCACAGAGCCCCAAACAGTTACAATTTCTCTGTTACTCATTAAATCTGAAAGAAAAAAAAGATTAAACTCAATACACTGTCTTTCAGTGGCCATCATTGCAGAGGGCTGCCAAACACCGAAGTAAACTGCACTTCGTTTCCCAAGTACGGTCTCCGTACGCTGGAACACAACCCGTGGATTAAGAGTAATTTCAATAAAGGGATTTAAAAAATAGACAACCACACGAGGAGTAAAATGCTAAATCTCTTTCAAGGTAGACTCAGAAGGAGCCCATCAGTAAATAAGGGTCCATTCATAATAAGGGAGCTGTATTTTTTTTTATACTGGAAAACTGTATGTAGCACTCAATGTTTTATTCAGGATGAATCATGGTTTGTTTGTTTTTTTAGCTACAGCCCTTCCATTGTTAATACAGCACATATGTTGAAGTATGATTTCCATATTTTTTTTAAAGATAACACGGAGTGCACTGACGCTATGGACTTAAAACAACTTTGTGTAAAAAATTTAAACAATTTAACATACCGTAGTTTAAATCAACTAACGATGGGCATTCTCATCTACTGACATGCAAAATGAGATGTAAAATGTTACTTTAGCACGTAACTATATTTGTTGAATGTTTTTCTTGATAAAAAAAACAGACTACTTATTACAATGTCCAACCGATCATTTAAATATACAAGGCGATCCATTATAATCACTTCACCAAATTTCCAACGACCCCCTCTAACCCTTGATTCTCAACAGGTAATTGAATAGTGTTGTGAAAGCGACGGCTCCACGTCTTACAGAGGAGAGTGCTCGAGAAAGGTTTACTGTGATGACTCTTGAGAATGGTGAGATACGTGCAGAGGTTTTACATTTCCATGTTCGTTTTTTGATGCCTCACATTTTGGCGGGGTGTCTATAAACGGATCACCCTCTGGAATCTATTTTTAATTCTAGAAATTAATAGGTGGGTAAGCAATTATGGTGTTGTAGCTCTGATTTTTTATGACATTTGTTTGGACATCTCCTATAGCGATTATTGATGGTCATATCGTAAATATAACGTTGGCCCCAAGTAACATTTTACCATACAATTGCATTGCCACTGATTTTGTATTCATGTAATCTATTGTGATGCAACACCAGTTGCGATGTTGTATTGTGTTATTCACTGTGCATTATCATCTTCATGATATAGCTACAATACTGTACGACGATCATGTGGTGATTTGTTAAAACATTAACAAAAAACACTCAATATTGTGCTCTCAAAAGACTCTGTGTGTTGAAATAAAGTGTTATATTTTATAAATACTCCATGGTATGTGCACTCCACTACAAAAATCGTAAACACTTGTAGAGATGAAGCATAAATAACTTATCTGTGCACAAAACAGCATTGACATTTCACAATAGTTTGCTAAATGCGGCACTGCCGTTGAATACCATGCATTATCCTGCAATGCGCAGAATTATTTCAGCTATTACACAAATCATAATTGAGAACACGGATTGACGTGTCAAATAATGACCCCAGATGTGTGTGCATGGTTAAGTCATCGAGCGGTGCGCGAATGCCGTCCATCAGCTTTACGATATCAGCACAGAGTCTGGCAGAAGGCTTTACCACGGCGTCCCTATGGAAGGCATCACAATTCACAAAACGGCTATTTGACATTTGTGTATACGACACACACACACACGCGAATAGCTCCCCAAAGGCGGCAATGTCGGTAGCGCTTCTTGTATTTTAAAACGAAAAGATCTGCCCGTATACCATCACATTACGCCCAATGGTTTATACCGCATCTTACACCCACTCAGCCGTTCGTTCAAATGTGCCACAATTATTCAATCAAGTACCGGCACTGTTTGTAAATATTATTGATTTTCCAAAAGATTCTAGCAACGCTCAAAATAAATCGTTGGGGGGGGGGGCGGCAATTGACATTTAGACAAGCGACTTGTAACACACACACACGGCATGCAGAATTAGTGACAAACTCCTGGTCGTGTGACCTGCCCCACCCAGCCCACACACAACCGCACCATCACCACCCAGCCCCATCCCAGCTGAACTCCGGACGCAACAATAGCTCGCTCAACCTCAAAACAATAAAGTCACATCTTCCGTGCGTCATCCTCCCGAGCCACGGACATCATCCATTCACACACGACCACCCACACACACACACCATGGAACCGACAGCAGGAGGGAGCTGCACGTTTTTACATAACGCCGGCCATGCAGCAGCAGCAGTAGCAGACAGCTCGCAATACTAAAAAAAAAACCTCGGCCTGCTACGTACGAATCAGCTGTTCTCAGCAGCATGTGCTGGATTTTTTTTTTACAATTTGATGCATCCTTCCACACCGCAATATATGAATCAATCAACTTTTTTTCACCTCCCCCCCATCCCCCAAAATCCCCTCCAATCTAGCTTAGCCCTAAGTACAGACACAACGCGAGAGATAGATGATGTTAAGGCGCGCGCGTGTGTGTGTATGCACATTTATAAATGGGTTCCTACCGTTAACACGCGCCAAGGATCAGTGCCTCTCCCACGGCACCGCAGGAATACCCCCCCTGGCCCCCGATCACCACCAACCCAGCGCGAGAGACAAGCACACGGCTGGTTGATAATCTCGACTCTGCTCGCTCTCCTCTGTCCCTCCTCTCTCTCTTTCTCTCGTAGGCAAAACGATGACATCACCTTGCCCACTTGCTGGGGATCGAGGAGGAGGATGGGAGGGGTGTGTGCTGCTTTATTTGCAGGCAAGGCGTGCGTGCTTGCCAGACTCCCCGCACGCCCAAGCCGCCACCAGCGTTGTGACGTGCACGAAGGGCCCAGTTTGACTCCCCCCTCCCCCCCCCGTTGGCATTTTTTTTTTGCCACCAAACTCTACGGCACAAGGGTGGCCCCGGCGTAAGTCTGGAATAATTGGGGGGGAAATAAATAATTCATGTTTTTTCTTCTTGGTTCTTTCGGTAAAGTCACGTAGAAGGGAAATAATAAAATAATAATAATAGAACATAATTATTATTATTTAAAACATAATAATTATTAAAAATAAAACACAATATTATTTATTTTTATCGCAAATGGTATAGCTCAAACATAATAATTATTATATTTTATTTGTATTATTTTATTATTTCCCTTCTACGTGACTTTACCGAAAGAACCAAGAAGATGAATCCCTGCAGTCACGAAAGCTTTAAATCGAAATTTAATTCATGTTTTTGTTTTGTTTCCGAAGGCCCAAGATATCTCTGAGTAAGGATTAACGAGTCCAGATAATTCCACTCGTCGGAAATCGAGGGAGGTCGCTGTTGAATTTAACAAACTGCATCCAGACCGCGAGCCAACAACACAGAGCTGTGTTTTTCCTGTGATTCCAGATTCATGGGACACCCTGTATATATTTGATTTTTGATCAGGTAAGGGTCAAACTGAGTGATATAGCTATTTTTTTCCATAAGCAACAGGGCTATCGCAAATGGTATAGCTCAACGAAGTCTGGCTTATCACGTGGAAATGTTGTAGCAGCCAAATACGCTCAACGCGTGTGATGTTGATTCTAAATGTGGACGGCAAAATCCACGCGACCACGAATGTACGGGGGTTGTCCAGATGTCTTGTGACCCCTCCATTTCATTCTCTAAAGAGTAATATTTTTTAAAAGTAAGATTAATTTAAAACATGAATAAATATGCACAGAAAAAATGTTAGGGGTCAATTAATTGAGGATCATAAGACTTCCTGAGACATCCTGACCACCGTGTACAACACAGGGACAGATGCTTGCCCTGTAACCGAGTAAACAGAATCTAAATATAGTAAGAATCTAAATATGTATTTATCCTGAAGAAATCCGACGAGCGATTAAACTTTTTCAAAGATGTCCAGTAAACATGCCAACCTTATGGGTCAACGTTTGGTTGGCATGTGGTTGACACCGTTAGATCAACGTTTAAACTGTTGGGACCAATGTTGGCCCGTTGTTGGTTGGCCCAACGTCCCATGCTTGCTGTGATGATCGGAGGTTCACTATCATTGATGGAAACAAGCCCGACCGTGTGTCGAAACCGGTTCAAAGTTTTGCGTGTCTTGAATCAATGCTGCTGAAATGATGCACTGTCAGATGGCCGTGCGGCTGATGGATACATGAGGACTTATGTAATTCAATTATGAGCTGCCATGATTTATGGCCGCATTTTTTTTACGTGCTGGCCAAAATTGTCATCAAGTGACGAATGGGCTTCTCTCGTTAATTACGTGCGAATACTATTTCAACGAAATTATACAAGACGCTCTTTAACCTTTAGGATATTTGACTGCGGTTTCGATAACATTTCTGTTTGCATACGAGTACTGTACCGTGTAGTATCAGGAACTCTGACAATACTTGAGATTGTATGCGCAGGACATGTGCGCTGTGTGTTATTGATGTGTTATTTTAGTCGGACGAATTGTGGCCGAGCAAAATATTGTGTTGACGCTGTACCCAAATATGGAATCGCCTGCTAACAACACCGTCACACCGGCTAGAGAAATGCGAGTAAGCCAAATTAGGGCGGCACAGCCACGACTATGAGTGCCATAACTCGAGCCAGCGATTCCAGTGTTGCAGCAACGCCTCTGATAGCCGTGTCCTTGTCAATGGATAAGCGCACGCCACGCATTGCACATTTGCTCACAGTTAACGAGAGGCACGCGCTCACGCACTCGAGCGCGTGCCTATCTGATGCCATATGACAAAACACAGCTGGCGCGCCAGACACAATCAAGTATAATTGCCTTCCACTGTACCGTAATTAATACTCCACTTTTAATTATGTGCCCTTTGCACGATCGTCAGCGCACGGATCAACCTTTCTTAAAGGTCAAGCAACGATGAGCCAGCTACAGATATGAACTGCACACACTCTGGGCTCCCCCACTGATTCGTGTCTCGTTAAGGCAGTCACGCACCTCAACTGTAAGTTACTAGGAAAAGGGCACACATTTTCACTACAATGGGAGCATGGCTTCCACTTAAAAAGGGCTGCACAAGTCAATTTACTCTTCGTGAATTATTAGAAACACAATTTGATTAAAAAGATGAACATTATCTCTTCACTTAAAACAATACAACATTTTGTCCGGCTCAAATTAGCATTTAGGCCATAGTCAATCTCCTATTAACAGCCATGAGACAGTGGAGGAAATTCCACATTCCTATGGGCAGAGAGTGAGGGCAAGTCTATCCAATGGACAATCACTATTGACTTCCCCACAAAATAGTACTTATTTTATCGACCTATTATGGATGATGGTCTGAGTGCAACCCCCCCAACCAGAATTTTTACTTGCAACTTTCCGATTGCGAACTGCTTGCTCAACCACCGAGAGAGTACATAAGAGCATATGATAATGCTGCTGCAATGCTGTAGTGAGGTTATGTTACTGGCCATAACGTAACACACAATACACTACAGTACAGCATTTGAAAATTATGATGATTATAGTTTATGTCCTTAAGGACCGTGCACTGGGCTTCTGTATTGCATACGTAGTGGCATCGCGTGGTTTGCATTGGCCCTCATGCAAGGAATTAAATGGGCCCTCTGTTCAATCCCCCACCCCCTCGACTGCCCCTTCATATCCTAGAACCTGGACCCCTCCAGCCCATGGGCCAGAGTTCAGTTCCACGGCCTGTGTGATCGAGATAAATGTCAATGGGTAGAGCCTTCAACACTACTGTATTACTTAACGCAACAACTTCCTGACTGGCTGAGTCTTCGAGATCCAGTTTAATTAAAAGCCTTCGTTCGGCTTACTGAACCACAGGCGTCGATAGTAAACTCTCGGGACTCCCATACATTTATTTGCAGACGACAGTGGCAGATGTATGCAAAGTATTGCAATTAAACATCTCGGCTTGTCCCTTTCTCAGTCTCAGTGTTCAACAGCTTCAATATGTTTCCACTGATCTAGATTTTTTTTCTTGTCTTTCTCCAGTTTTATCCCGGTTATGTTAACGGCGTCTTATCATGAGACAAAGAGTCTATTGAGAAGGCTCATAGAGCTGTGTGCATCATCCGTGTTAAGAGAACGGTCCACAGAAGGCGATGTCACAGAGTGGCTTCGGAAATATCTTCAAGCGACCTCTCAAATTTCATACCCTCCCTGTTACGGAGTCATCTTCATCGCATAACAGACAGAGCAATATATATATTTTACTCGCTGTCAATATTGTGATTACACTTGCTTATCGAGGATTTTTTTTATCAGAATTGGAATTTTACCAAATTTAATGGGGATGTTTTTTTCAACGTTTTTTTGTGCAGTCATTGCTTACCAGATTGAGATCATCAACTCACTCCACTGGAGAATCCAAATTAATTACAGGTGGCTGAATCCCAGATGAGAACCCAGCTGTACCACCGCAGCCCTTTTTACCTCCAAGTCCCCTCCCTTTAACATTTTTTTTCACCTAACCCAATTTACGTTGATCAAGTTTACCAAGCCCTCTTAAGCAACATTCGTAATCATTTCATTATGAATGTTTTTAAATTTTATTCTTGAAAAGCTGTCCTCTCAACACAATTTTTATTCTCACAGGAAAACGACAAAGCTATGCAGTTGGTTTAAATTCTCACCCATTCAATAAATGCCAGTTTTAATTGCCCTTTATCCTATTACCATTGGTGAATCATCATCAGCCATGAGCTATCCACTGCGTGATGTAATAATCACAAATGCTTAACAAAATCATAGCATTGTTTCTACACGTGACTAATAGAGAACCCATTGCCCTGCAATGGAAAGAAAATGCAAATTCAATGCCGTACTCATGGAAAGCAACTACGTACTGTATTGTGGCCAATACACAATTACCACGGGTCATTACCAAGATGTAATCTGCTGATTGCTAGTGAGCCCTTGTGTAGATCACCATCACTTTAATTAGTTGTGTTTGTAAATGTACGAGTCGACAACCCGTTGCTCGGCAATGGAAAATAATAGACAGCTGTCATTTGCATACTGATAATTACATCCAGCATCATTGGGCGGTTTCTGGAAAAAATGCAATATTGTGGATTTACTCTCCAACACAACGGTGACTCGTTGACACGTTTTGCTTACGTGACATACCTTACTAATTGTCTGCGTCGGGTGGTGGTGAGTTAACGACACATTCATATTTACGCGATCTAACCCGAAAAAAAAACCTTCATTATGAATAATATTGGTTGCGAAAGCATACGTGTCAAACTGTATGGATTTTGTTTATGCAATACATGTACAATTAAATACGGTAGACTTTTTACATGTTTGGCCTTTTGACGACACCAAAGCCAATGCAAGCCAATTTAATTAATTCATCCAGCCGACCATTAGGCACCCCCCCCCCCCCATGTGTTTGAGAGGCCTTAAATATTTATGGCCTCTTCTCAGTGAATCAGCTGCAAATCGGTGTACTGTATATTTGAGGAGACACGTCAGTGTGGTCAAGCTGTGCCCTAAATGAGGGAAGGGTTCCCATAGCCAGATGCGAAACAGTGGCCACAGTGAACGGTTTTCATCTGGGCCTCTGAAAATACACTTCTCAATGTTGTCTCTGAAAATACCGACCGATATAATATCCTTTTATTTTTATATATGGCAACAAAGAAACAACAAATCCTATATATGGAGTTGTGGTCACTTTCCCCGAGGAATAGTTTCCTCTTGAATCAGTACAGCT